GCAAACAGTACCCAGGAATCTTGAGACATAATGATACAAAAATAGAAGATAAGAACATCGTAACAAATTTGAACATTTATTGGTTAAGAAGAACAGAAAAAAGAAAGCAAATAAACAACCAGAATAGGGAAAATACTGGAAAGTATGATACCAGCCAAGCCAAATGGACAGACTGTTCCAAGAAGTCATTAATGAACTGCTGTGCTGGCACATGCCTGTAATTCTAACCAAAAAAAAGATCTGGGGATGTAATTCAGTGTGAAGGCCCTGGATTCAATTCCCAGCACTTGAAAAAAAAAAGACATTAATGTGTTGAAGGGTATTGAGGACCAAAAATATAAGGAACAAAAAGGTCTACAAAATTTATAGACATGGCAGAAATAGAGAACTCCACAGACATCTGGCTCTATAAAGAATGCAGAAACAAGAGGCATAGGATATTAGGGATGGAGTTAGGTGAAGATGAGATTTGTTTGCTGCATTTAACTGTGCTTAAGGTGGAGAATACTTGGACATATATAAATACAATGATGCAAAAGCAGAAGAATCAGCAAGTCTCGAGATGTATGTGACAGAACACTTTAATTCTTTGTTATTCTATTAGTTACAAAATCACAGGTTCAAATATTTTCTCAAATAGAAGCCAAATACATCACAAGATTTTCTGCAATTAAACAGGACAAAATATTGATCAATCTTTGAAGGAAGGTGGATGTGCTGAATAACATTACATTATTCTGCCTCTAAGGAAGGTGAAGCTCACCTAAAAATTAAAATTGAGGCAGCAGGCATGAGTGCCACCTGCTGGCAAAATACAAATTCTCAGTATTTTGACAGATGGAAACCAGTCTTAATAGGAATTTCAACTAACTGAATTAGAGGCTACCTATTATTTCCAATAATAGTTTCTTAATACTGACACAAAATCTCAGATTGTCTCACTCAGCAAAGAAAGTCTTTAAACAACACTCCTGGTCAGATGCTATCCTCCCTTTATTTGAACACATTCAATAATAGGAGGTGCCTACGTCCAAGAGCTGTTACATCATCAGGTCATTTTAAAGTGAAAGGCACTTTCTCCTAATTTCTACTCATTTTTCCTAACTTTCTTTCTATAGCAAAAGGGTGAGTTCCATACAGCAGCCCTTCAGCATCTACAGGCAGGCATGTTACTTTTGCCTCAGGTGAAACAACCTAGTATTGCAACTATTTTAAATTCTTCCATAATCACAGTTGTAGGGTGTGGCTTAGTTTGTCAACAATTCACGAAATACCTTGGAGGTTCCATTTCCAAGAGGTAGTGCAGTGGCACTATTACTGTCCTTTATCTGAGCCTGACACACTCTTGGCTCTGACAGAATTTGTGGTCAAATAAAATCCTATCCAGCAAGATCTTCCTAATGCAATATTCACATGATTTAATTATTTGAATCTAATGCTAGTCTTGATGTTTACCCTTATTAAATTTCACGCTGTAATAATCTTGATCACATTTTCTTGTCAAGGTCAATTTGAACCTTGATTCTTGCTTCTATCTAACAGGTGAATGACTAATTCTTCACCTAAATCAACAATAAAAATTTGGATATGAGGGCTGGGGATGTAGCTCATCAGTGCAGCACCTGCCTGGTAAGTGCAAGGCCCTGAGTTTGATTCCTGCTACCCAAAAAGAAAAAAGAAAAAACAAATTTGGATATGAAAGAGTAATAAGGTATAATAAATAGTAAACCATCAAAATTCTTTGGGTAGGGATGTTTATCTAGCTGTAAATATATTTACTAACTTATTTAGTATTTACTAATCTATTTCAGTCACTAGGAAGATGGAAAAATTAGACCAATACTTTAATGAAATCAAGATGATATGTCTTAGGCATTCCATAAATATACTAAACTCATCTTCCAAAAAGGCAGTTATACGTATTTAACATGGTTGTTTCAAGGTAAACTACTGGAAAATGTTCACAAGCCAAAGTGGGGTTTATCAGCAAGCAGTTTCATAAATTGAATCTTTAAAAAAAATTTAAGAGTCAACCTACGTAATTATACTATGGTTATTTTATGATTAAATATTTATGATTAAACACTTAAAAGAGCAGATTTGTGGCTATGTATGCATTTCACTCATTTTAACAGGCTGAAGATGACCTTTTTCAGAAGAAAGCTGTTCTCCTGACTGAAATGTAGTGTCTCCTCTGCCTAGACATCTGCACTGAATTGAGAATGCCTTATTGAAAACTGATCCAAAGTCACTGACAAATGATTAATGGTGACTCAGACCATTCAAACAGTAAGTACCTCGGGTTATGATTCCACTGGGTCTTGCGACGTGAACAATCACCATGAAACTGTATGTGAAACCCACTGGGCTTCAGCTTTTTTCTTTAATATACTTACATGGACTTCTTCATTTCAAATCCTTCTTGGTACTCATGAAAAGGATGCAAAATAAGCACTGTCGCTCTGTAGCACAGTGTAACACTCCCGATGTGGCTCCCAAAGCTCAACGGCTTGGTTTCAAATTCTAGCTCTATCATTTACTGGCTATGTGATCTGGACGAAGTTATTCAATCTCTCTGTTCCTCTGTGTCATTTACAAATGGGAATAATATCACTACCTACCCTGTAGAGATGTTATAAAAATGAACTGAGTTAATATGCATAAAGGGTACTTCGGTTTGGACATGGGTCAAGTGCATCCCCAAAGGTTCTCCAGTGTGGCAATGGTGAGTGGTGTGGAACCTTTAAGAGACAGGGTCTACTGGGCATGATTTAGATAGGTCTTCGAGAGAGACTAATGCGGTTACTCTCCCACAGGCCCCCGCCATTGTGATGCCATCTGCCACAAGGCCCTCACCAGAGCTGAGATGTCAGTGCCATGCTCTTGAATCTCCAGAGCCGTGAGCACAATAGACCCCTTTTCTTTATAAAGTTAACAGCCTTGTGTATTTTACAACATAAAATAGATGAAAGACAAAGGGTTTATAACCATGCTTGCTACACAGTAGGCATGAGTTAGAAAATTTAGATGTTTGCTGGAATTATCATTCTCGATCATTTATTAACATCACTCCTTCTACCCAGTTTCTCCTTGTGTTTGCTCTGAAAATAATGGTACTGTTAGCTAAAAGTTGGGGTTTGAAGTAAAAAAAATTTGTATTTGACTCCTGGCTTCATCTCTTTTCAGTAATATAACCCTGGAAACTAACTTAACTTCTAAGTTTCCTCTTCTGTAAAATGAGGATTAAAAAAATAGTATCTACTTCATGGATTTGTGAGAATTAAATAAAAATGAATGTCACCCACTTTACATAACACCACATATAGTGTGTGCTCAGTGAACTTGTTTTAACACAATCCCTTGTTTTTCTGCTTAGTATTTTTGTTGGCACAAGCTAGATGTTGGCATTTTTTTTTCTGATACTCTTGTAGGTTGATGGCTCTTTTGGCATTTATCTTTACTTGTATGCCCCTCTCTATATTTGTAAATGTTTTCTGACTTGCATACAGATCCTTCTCTTAACATTCATCCTCTTTTCCTTTCTCCTTGAATTGTTTTTGGTGCCCTCTGTCAAAATTTTAGAACTTTCTGTTCTTCATAAACCTATACTTTCTTGGAGCCTACAGCAATGAGATTGTGCTCATATTTTTTTCTGAAATATTTGCTTTCTAAAATACAGAATTCATGCTCAAAAAATTTTTCATTATTATTATAAGGTGATTTTTCTCTCAAGGTTCTATATCTCCTACTTCCCCAATCACTGGTAAAAATTAAATTTGTCTCTGTCTCCATCAGTCACTCCTAGCTCTCCCTGTGAAAGGTTCCTTTTCAACAAAACATATCTTCCAATCAATGGTCATTCTTTTATGGGTGATAGGGATATTCCTGTTGAAATATTAAATTTCCTTTTCTATCTACACTGCACTGGTATACATTCATACGTACAGGGTATGGTTCTCAGACAGTTTTGTACACTTTCTTTTTGTCATATATTTTCTTCCTGGGTTATTTATTTTTATAATTTTATCTGGGCTTACTTCTCCTCTACTGAAAAATTTAATAAGTCTCCAGTGAAACGGCACTGAAACTTACTCCACCAGAAGTTCAATATTGTGGCATTAAACACTACATTTCAAAGAACCAAATACTATTCTCCTCTGATACCATCCAACTCTTAATTGCCCTATCTGTCCTTGTGTTCCAACCTTCTGAGTATCAAATGGAAATATAAATAGGCAAGACCTGTGCCTGCTCTGCAGATCTTAAAAGATTTCTTCTAAATATTTCCATTAATATGTAAGAAAGAAGTATTTTGACTGGACTGAAAATTGACCATGTGCATTTTATTCACTATTGCCCAGTGCCTAGGTTTGACTGCCAGCACAAAAAAATACAAAAGAAACAAAGATATGACAGATCATTTGTGACTTGCAAAGCCTAAAATTCTAGTCTTTAGAAAAAGCTTGCTGAACCTTGTTTAAACACTCAAATATTTGTTAAAAGAGAAGGTAGGGGAGAGGGGCTACAGGGATGAAGACAGAAAAACAGATTTGCAACAATTATAATTGGAGATCACTAGAAATAGAAAAACCTGTCTAATAAATATGCATACCTTTAAATTGTTCCTTGGCTTTCATTTACATTTAATTCCAAGAAAAAGTAATGGCCTTTCATTAGCATAATTTATAGATCATATTTTTTTAACGGATCTATACTTGAGTCACAGGTGCTCTTAAAAGAACTATATTTAAACCTTAGCAGTATTCTCCTTTGGCTGGTCTCGTTGACATAAGTATTAGTCATCAGCAAGGTGTCAGCCACTGTGAGCTGTCAATTTACAATGTGTTCCCTCATACACATATCCTGAGCACTAAGCAACACTCTCCATTTTACTCACCTGTTCTCATTTGACTATGCCCTGAAATAATTTAATCAAGCCCTGAAATAAAGCTTTGAATACTAAAAAAAAAAAAAAAAAGTTAGCATATCCAAAGGTGTACCTGAAAATGTTGCTCCATCACTTGGATTTTTCCCTGCTCTGGGCACTTTTTCAGAGCACGATCTGCATAATGGAACAGGATTTCTACCATCTGTAAGAAAAATAGCCTTGCAATGAAATCAAAATATAGCTCTAAAGTTTTTCAATATTTAATATGTGGCCCTCCTAAACAACACAAGATTGGGCTTTGTTATTGTATTCAAAATACAAGTAGAGCTTTTAGTGGCCTTATTTCCTAATTTGTTTTGTTTGTTTTTGTTTTTGTTTTGGTACCAGGGATCGAACTCAGGTCCTTGCCTTTGGGAGGCAAGTGACAGAACCACTGAGCTAAATCCCCAGTCCCAATTTGTTAATCTTTGCTAAGAAATATTTCCATGGTTTAGGTCTCAATAATATCTATATTGCTCAGGAAATGAGAGGCTGAAGTTAAGTTCTCCAGAGTTCTTTAGTGAAGTCTTGCCCTAGTGAGCATGCATGAGCAAATCACTCATGAACCCAGATTCCCAAGATTATTTCGTCCTTTCTGCTGTCTTTTAGCTATTTTGGTATTTTATTATCTTCATAAGACAGTGAAAATGGGCAGTGGGTGATAAGAAATTCAAAAAGCATTGAAGCTGATACCAGAGAATTATAATCTGGCCTATTTTTATATACTGTCTCCACAACTGTAGCTATTTATTCAATCATGTCTAAAGAGATTAGCAAATACACAAGCAATCTGTACAGCACCCTAATGAAGGCCACATTAAAATACTCACCCGATCTGCAACAACAGCCTTTCGCTTACTGACATCCCCTGACAATCCTGCAGAGAACAAAGCCCAACATAAAACAGAAGTTACTGAACATCTTCAGGAGAGAACCTGTGTTCTGCTGCTCTCTTCATAACTTATGCTAACAGATATAATTAGAACTTAACTTAGTATCAAAATGCTGGGAAAAAGGAATACTTCGTATCTATGGGACCAGGTAGCATATCAATATACTTCTGTTTTCACTGTAAATTTTCCTTATGAAAGAGTTTTTTTTTACTTACCCACTACTGCTTTTGCTTTTCCTTCATGGAAAGACCATGCAAGGGCCAAGGCTTCTGTGAGACAATCTTGTTTCAAGAGATGATCCACTCTCTAAAATGAATAAACGAAAGGAGTCAGATCCCTTTATCTAATCAATCATCAGTCAGAATTCCTACTCTACCTACTATCTTTCCACAATTCACTGCTTAGAAGCTAAAATTATTTCAATAAAATTAAAACATTATTTTAATACCAAACTTTTTCTGCAAGATTATCAGGAGGTGCCAGTTTCTATCATATTTCTAAGAAAAATAATTTCTTAAGGCACTGGCTAGTGCAATGATTATATAGACTACTATGGGTAGCCAAAGTGCCTAAATATGAAAAGGGGAAACAGAACAACATCATTATAGCAGAAATGAGTAGTTTTTTTAATCACAGAACAGTCCCGCCTCCTCAGTAACAAATCCCATGTTTATTTGAGACAGTAATACACTAGCTAAAGGAAATTTCTAAGATTCCCCTTGTCTTGGGGCAATGTAATAAAACTATGGTCAATGATAAGTGGAAATGTCTTCTGTAACTATTTCTGTGATTTTTCCTTAAAAGGTAGGGGCCTGCCTTCATCTTCTCTTCCTTCCTTCCTGGATTGTAAGTTGGCAGCTGGAGCTCTAGCAACATACTGGACTATAAAATGACTTTGAGACTGGAATTCAAACACAAAGATGGTGAAACAGGGTAGCATATTTAAGACCATGGAGCTCCGAAACTAGTCCTGGATTACTTTCAGATGAGAAAGAAATCTTGTTTAAGCCCCTGTTATGAATTTCCTGATATATGCAGCCAAATCTAACACTAATTCATACAATCGTTTATAGGAAACTAATTATCTAACACTTATAATAGTTTTTATGTATACTTCTTTTTTTTTTTTTGGTACCGGGGATCAAACTCAGGACCTTGCGCTTGTGAGGCAGGCGCCAGAACCACT